AGAGGCTCACTTAAGGACAGAAGCTGGATCCACTATGTTTTACTTTAACAAGCTGCATAATATGGCTCTTGCTGAAGGTGGAGATGTGCGTTTACATCTGATGGAGATGCAAAATCTGAGACATGAGCTGCAACAGAGAGGACTCAACTTTCCAGAGGCTGTGTATTCTTTCATGATACTACAATCTTTGGGTTCAGGTTGGGAGTCTGTTGCAACCCAGATTGCTGTGCAACCAACTGCTCAGCTGACAGTGGACTTTGTTACTGCCGTGATTTTAAATGAAGCAGATCGCCGGGGTGCTAGCTGCATGGGCAAGGGGAGTCTTCACAGACGTCATCCCATAGTGCAGTGGAACCACCAGATGGCGCCAAAGCTTTGAAGGCAGTGAAATGCTACTCGTGTGGACGTCTAGGCCATATGAAGAGGGAATGCAGACATCCCAGGGCCAAGACAGAGCAGCGCAGCGAAAGCTCATCGCGCGGAAAAGGCCGAGGCAAAGGCAAAGGTCCGGTGTCTAGGACAACGCAGCACAAGGCTATGGTTTCACGCTTCACTCCAAAGGTTGCAGAGGTCCAGAAGACGTCTAGATCTTTCTTCGTTGTTGATTCAGCGGCGACCCACCACATGTGCAACGATAAGAGACTGTTTATGTCTTTTACACCGCAGGAAGGTGCGATTCACCAGGCGGATGACCACACTATTCCCAGTAAAGGCTACGGAACTGTTGTTCTTCACAGTTTGGACTTATCGATACAGAATGTGCTTTACGTGCCAGACGCCAAACATAATCTGCTCAGCGTTGGACAGCTGAATGAGCGGAACATTGACGTTTCCTTCAAGAACAAGAAGTGCATCATCACAAAGAAAAATGATTATGTATTGCATGCAGAATATGTTGATCATTTGTTTGTTTTGTATTATGATGATGTGGTGCAGGATGACACTTGTTGCATTGCAGGTTCTAACAAAAGTTTGCATGCAGAATGTATTCACGATTTTCATAGAAAATTTGGTCATTTGCATTTTGAGGCAGTATCTAAAATGCCTGCCTTGGTTGAAGGTATGACTATTAAACCCTGCAGGTACCACATGAAGTGCAAAGCATGCGCAGCAAACAAGGTCAAAATGGCTGCGAAAGGTAAGGTGTCTAGTAGGAAAGCTACAGAACCATACCAGGTTGTTCATGCTGATTTGGTTGGACCACTAGCGCCCTCTTTGGGTGGAAATAGATACTTCATGGTTCTCATTGATGCATTTTCTAGATATATTTTTGTGTACAATCTCAAGCAGAAATCGGAGGCTTTTCCTAGGTTCAAGGAATTCTGTGCTTGGTTGGAAAATGTGCATGGTAAGAAGATAAAGACTCTTTTCAGTGATCGAGGGGGAATTCACTTCTCAGCAGTTTGAAGCTTTTCTGACTGAGAAAGGAATTCAACACGATTTGTCTAGTCCTCGCTCGCCATGGCAGAATGGACTTGCGGAACGGGCAAATCAGACATTGCTTCAAGGGTTAAAAACCTTGCTGCATGATGCCAATCTTCCAGAGAGTTATTGGGCCGAATCTCTCTCGTGTTTTGTTTACAGTTACAATCGCAGGTTATCTTCAGCGATTGGTTGTACCTCTATGAGAAGATGTTTGGCAAGAAGCCATACATCAAACACATGAAAATTTTTGGTTCTGACATGTGGGTTCGCTCACCACAAAACTCCAAGTTAGACAAGCGTGGATTGCATGGTATCTTTCTAGGTTATCAGAAAGGGTCTTACAGAATAATGATGACTGACTCTAAGACAATTAAGCTCACGAGAAGTGTTGAGTACAATGCAAAGTGGGGGAGAATGTGGGAATTTTCCAATGTTATCCTGATGACGGTGATGAGACTGAGGATAGTCAAAAGCAACCACAACAACCCACACCCACTGATGAAGGTTCTGAGTCTGAATCTGAAACTGAATCGGGTGATTCAGAGGATTTCAAGAGTGCGAAAGCCTCTATGCGACCCTCTGAAAGCTCTGATCAAGAATTGGAGGAACCATTGTTCACAATAGGTCGTTTTTCTCCTAAGAAGGAAGAGGAGAGTGTTGAAGACTTAAGGCTAATTCGTAGGTCACAGAGAGCCACAAAAGGCAAACCTCCAAAGAGATTTGCTGATGAGTTTGCTAAGATAGCAGTAACAGCTGTTAAAAGCTCCAAGAAGGTATTTGAACCTTCAAGTTTCCAAGAAATCCAGGGTTTGGATTCAAAGGAAGCTGAGCCATGGTTAAATGCCATGAAGGCTGAGCTTGATTCCTTAGAAAGGAACAAAACATGGGAGCTAGTTCCAGTAGTTCCAGGAATGAAACTGCTTGGAAGCAAATGGGTCTTCAAAGCGAAGACAGATCAAAATGGCAAGATAGTCAGACACAAAGCCAGATTGGTAGCCAGAGGTTTTGCACAGGTACCAGGTCAAGACTATCACGAGACCTATTCACCCACAGTGAGATATGAAAGCATTAGGCTTATGCTCAAGCTAGCTGCAGAGGAAAATCTACACATTAGTCACCATGATATTAATACAGCTTTTCTGTACGGATCTCTAGATGAATCACTTTATATGCTTCCACCTGATGGCGTACAGGTAAAACAGGGATTTGTTTGTGCTCTGAAGAAATCCCTTTATGGTCTCAAACAAAGTGCACGGTGTTGGCACACAAAACTCACTGAAGTATTGTTTTCTCTAGGTTTTCAGCAAGGGAAAGCTGATCCATGTGTATTTGTCAAAGAGGAGGGGCAAAAGAAACTGTACTGTTTGTTTTATGTTGATGATTTATTATTCTTTTGGAAAGATGTTGCAATGTACAATAGCGCCCTAGCTCAACTGAAAGAGCACTTTGACATGAAAGATCTTGGTGAGGTAAACAACTACCTATCTCTGGAAATAGAGAGAGATCAAGATGGTAACATTTTAGTACACCAGTCACGGAAAATTGCTGATGTGTTAAGCAAACTAAATCTGATGGATGCTAACCCTGTAAACACACCGATGACAACAGGTTATCAGGTAGATGACATTGAAGAAGCATTTTCTGACACTACACTGTACAGGAGTGTGCTAGGCAAGCTAAACTTCATTGCCAGATGTTCAAGACCAGACATTGCTGTTAGCTGTAATTTGCTAAGCAGACAAGTCAACAATCCTAGTGTCAAGGATTGGAAAGCTCTGAAACGCATAGCGCGGTATTTGAAAGGCACTATGCATTACAGACTGAGATTTAACAATCAGAAGTCTGGTGGTCTTGAGATATTTGCAGATGCAAGTTTTGGAAGTGACGCTACAGACAGGAAAAGTACGTCTGGAGTTTGCTACATGTACAATCAGAGTCTGTTTGATTGGTCATGCAAGAAGCAAACAACAGTTAGCTTAAGTACTTGTGAAGCCGAACTGAATGCACTGTCTTATTCACTTAAGGATTGTGAATGGTTAGTACAATTGTGCAAAGATATGAAAATTCCTGTCAAATGTCCAATCCAGGTTTACCAGGACAACAAAGCATGTTTGGCTTTGCTGAAGTCTGAAGGTTGTAAGCAAAGCACAAAGCACTTACAATTAAAGTTGCAGCATGCTAGGGAATGTATTCAGAAGGGACTCGTAACGGTGTCCTATATGCCAGGTAATGAAATTCCTGCTGATGTATTGTCCAAGATTGTATCGAGGGATCAACACTGTACCTATGTGCAGAAGTTGGGTTTGTACTGATATTGTGCAAACACGCTGCCCAGTGATGTTCACAGAAAGGGGGAGGATGTTGGTTTCTGCTTTCCTTCACTGTGCAGCGAAAGGGCTTGTCACGAGAAAGGTGTTTACATTCCACAGTCTGTACTGTTGGAGTTTCTCACGGGAAAGGGAGGCTGGATGTGACGTACACTGGTTTCCTGTTTCTCACTGTGTGATTCTCTCCGAGCTGTCGAGGAGAGAGGATGCATTTTCTGCTCCGGCAGAGGCAAGATGTCTTTCTGTAATATACCAGCTTTGAACTGTAAATAAAGCAATATAGAGTATGCAGCACGTACTCCTCATCCTTCCGCTGGGCACCAGACTCTGCTTTAAATCAACACTTACGTCCTCAATTCTGCCTGTTTGCCGCATGCCAGCCTCTGCTTACCGTGGGCTCTAATCCTGCGCATATTACACCCCTGCATCCCATATTCTTGTGCTGCGTTCCTAGCCTCCTTAGCCCGGAGGAACTGAAAAAACAGAGGGCAGGGGGAGAGTTGGTTCCCATTCGTTTGGGCTGTGTTTTTTATGGCATAAGCCACACACCCCTTGTTGCTTTCCTATTTCCTGTGGCTCTTAGAGTAGCGCCCGCCATTTTAATCTGAGCACATGGGCTGCTGTTGCCGGGGCAATGAGGGGAAGCTGTCGGCTCTTCTCGACCTCAATCCGTAGCTGTTCATTTTGGTCCATTTTGGTCCAGCACATGGTCTGCACTTTGCCAGTTTACTCAGGCAGCCTCCATTGTTTGTTGTTGTTCAGTGTCCTCACTTGCTGGGGCTTCCTCATACTTGCTGTTTTTAAATCGATATTGTCCTGTGCTTACCTGATCTCTTAGCTATTCTTTAGTTCTATTTGCCTTGCGTTTCTTACTTCCTTGTTTCGCAAACCAGTGGCCAGCCTTTAAACGAACCCCCCCTTTAAACAGGCTTTCCCATTTAGACTTTGTTTTCAACATAACCCCCCCACCCCCTCTCCTCACCCTCTGTAAATTTGGCACCTTTTTTCCTCTGCCTCCTTCGGAATAATCTTGCTGCAAGGCTTAAGAATTGCTGCTTCTAAATCCCTTCACAATCATTTCGGCTGCCTGGCTGGTTAATTGTGCTCTCAACGACAGGCAGTTCCAGATACATTGTTGACTAAGTATCTGGCTGATCGGCAGTTAAGGTTACATTGTTGTCTTAAGTACTTTCCAGCTTGGCCATCTGCAGCATTGTCTATATAAGCAACATTTCCCTTCCCCTAAGAGCCTGGATAGCTAAACTGGTTAGAGTGTGGTGCTGGTAATGCCAAGGTTGCTGGTTTGATCCCTGTATGGGACCGCTCCATATTCCTGCATTGCAGGGGATTGAATGAGATATTATTATTATTATTATTATTATTATTATTATTAAAAAAGGCTCACTGTTCTGCTGAAGTGCTGGTAGAGGGATCATTTCCTTAAGTGTGTTTTTCCTATGTTTTCATTTGATAGCAGTTCCTGTGTCTGTTGTTCTCTGATTGTTCTATTGTACCATCCCTCTAAATTACTAGGAGTTTTGCCTGAGGAAGCAGCTCTATATAATTGATTGTGTGCATCTGCCTGAATTGTATATTGACTAACAGATACATCAATTAATAAGGAAATACGTTCTGAGCATACTATTGCATGGAATTTGCATAGTGTAGTTAATTCAGCTGGTTAAGAATTTATACAGTCAAGTGATAATAATCAACTCCCATCATCATTAATAACAGGATATAGATAATAAATTAATATTAAATTTAGTTGGTAGTAATTTGATCTGTAAAACATTATATCAATTATAATAAATAAATAAATAAATAAAGGAAAATTGAATAGAATTGTACAACATTAACATCAAGAATAAATTGATTAATAAATTGATTATTAAAAAATTACAATAAAAAAATAATAAAAAATAACAAATAACAATAACAATAATATTAATCAATCAATAAATAAATTTTTAAAAAAGAGAAGAAAGAAAAATCAAAGAATAAAACATAAAATATTGTACACACACACACCCATATTAAACATATTGGCTAATAAATATTTGTATAATTAATTGGATTAATATATAAATAAAGTGCAAAGAAATTTTTAATTGATCAAGTACAATCTTTTTATAATCTATAACACATTTTGTACAGCTGTTTTATAATTAATAACATGCACTTGTGGTCAGTAATTTTAGCGCATTACCCATGGCTCCTAAGAGGAAGCACGCAGCGGCAGAATCGGCATCCACTTCGGGCCGCATGGCTGCCAGCAGCAGTAACCCATCACGCGGACGGAATCATAACCCCAAGCCTATATCGCATTTCTTGAATACTTTCAGGTCTTTCATTGATGATTACGAGCAATGTTTCTCTGATCAACCCCCCAGCCTCATGCCCTCCCCCGATGCTATTCCTGACACGATACCAGATACCCAGGTAGTTCCGGAGAGCCCGCCTCTCACCCAAGTTGATGATCTCCCAGGTACCTCTGCTGCCCTCTTTGACGATTCTTAGTTCGCAGGTGCAGGCACAAGCTCTCAGACAGGACCAGCGGCTTTGCAAACTAGGTCTCGGGCTCGCTCGGTGACAAACTGACCTTAAGAACCGCATCAGGTCGCCTGCGCGGAGGTTGCCGGCCCATATCAATAACCCGGTTGCGTCCAGTTCTTCTAGTTCTTTGCAGAATAAGCAGCCCAGGGTCCAGCTTCCAGAATCGGGCACCTCGTCAGCCGGTGAAGAGGAACAGCAGCAGCTCGTGGAGGAGCGTCAGACAGTGGAGGGGGACAAACCATCAGGCAAAAGACGCACCAAGAAGAAGCACGTGTGCAAAAAGATCAAGTCGAAAGCGGGCGACACGGATGATGAGTCAGGTAGTTCTTCTGAATATGACAGCGATGCCTCTCTTGGCTCTTACTGGGGAAATTGGGAGGATATTTCGGGTCTCCCCGATTGGGCGTTGTCTAGGAGGGCCAATTCCCACCGCAAAAAATTCAGGGGAACCCAGGAATGGAAAGATAAGGCCCTAGTGCAAGATTTAACAACCTCCATGTACACCACATCAGAAGTTATCCCGGGTGACCACTTCTCCCCCAAGATGAGGGCTAAGATTTTGAATGGCGAATTTGTTGACATGTTCCAGTTGGTCCCACCTGCAGAGGAATTAGGAAGGGGGGAAAAGAGGCCTTCTTATAATAAATGCAAAAGCAAGTACCCCACAGTATCAAGGACTTTTGAAAACTGGTTAGACGGTTTTCAAGCGTACATGGGTACAATTGTTGCTGCTTATCCCAAGAGAGCGGTTCACCTTGTGGCCTACTTATCCCACATTAGAACGGCCTACGCTCTTTCCGGGGAGGCCGCCGCTATTAGCTATGATAAGACGTTCCGCAGAAAGGCTTCCAGGATCCCTTTGGCACGCTGGGATCAGATTGAAAATGGCATCTGGTCAGTGGCGGTTGACCCGTATGTCGAGATGAAGCCATCAGAGGCGTATCGCATTGGAAAGCTGGACCTAAGAAAGGATTTAAAATGTAAGGTGTGCTGGAAATTTAATAAAGGGCAATGCCAAAGGCAGTCTTGTAAGTACCCGCACGAGTGTGAGAGATTTGCAGGGGCTCACCCAGCCGCAGCATTTTACAAAGGGAAGCAACCCTTTCGGGGAGGTCAGGGGTTCCACCACTCTAGTTCCAGAGGAGCCCCTGCAGCAGGGAACCATCAATAAGGTCTTTCTGGGTCTAGCATTTTCTCCGATTCAGCTTTCTCCTCTCTGCAACCTTTTGTCTATCTATCCGGACAGAAGCGCAGCATCCTATCTTTGGAAGGGTTTCTCAGAGGGTTTCAGAATCCCAGTAGCCGGCTCTTTAACCACGAATGACTCTCCTAATCAGAAGTCAGTAAGGGAAAGGCCCTAGGTAGCAGAAAAGAAAATAGCAAAGGAGGTGGCCGCAGGGAGGGTGGCTGGCCCATTTTTACACCCCCCTATTCAAAACTTGCACATATCGCCCCTAGGTATCGTCCCCAAGAAGGCCCCTGGGGAGTTCAGATTAATCCATAACCTTTCTTATCCCAAAGGTGGCTCAGTAAACCATGCCATTCCACCAGAATTGTGCTCAGTAAAATATGCCACCTTTGATCAGGCAGTTAGGCTTATCTGGGGTTTTGGTCATGGGGCACTCTTGGCAAAATGCGACATAGAGTCAGCCTCCCATCTGTTGCCGGTCCATCCTAATGACTTCTATTTGCTAGGGTTCAAATTTCAAGGGAAATATTACATTGACAAGGCTATGCCAATGGGTTGCTCTGTAGCCTGCTTGGCTTTTGAGACATTCAGCACCTTTTTGGACTGGGCCTTGAGCTACAGAACCAAATCGTCCGGGGTGACGCATTACCTCGATGACTTTCTACTCGTGGGGAAGCCCAATACTGGCAAATGTGTCTCCCTTTTGGAGGCCTTTTCATCTTTGGCCCAGGAGCTAGGAGTTTCCCTCGCGGCAGATAAGACAGAGGGTCCCACTACGCACCTTACTTACTTGGGTATAGAGCTTGACACAGTAGCTCAATCTTCCCACTTACCAGAAGGAAAGATTTGTGCCCTTAAGGAAACAATTCTTCAAACCCTTCCCTTAAAAAAGGTCACTCTTAGGCAGATCCAGTCCTTAGATTGGTGCCCAAATTATTAGACCTGGGACTTCCACCGTGTTTGTGCAGGTGGATATTAGATTTTCTATCAAACCGTTCCCAAAGGGTCAGGTTGGGTTCCCACGTCTCTGCGGATCTCATCACGAACACGGGGACGCCGCAGGGGTGCGTGTTGAGCCCACTTTTATATATGCTCTATACAGCTGACTGTGCCCCCAAATACCCCAGTAATAAGATCATTATGTTCACAGATGATACAATGGTGGTTGGTTTAATCACGACTGGAGAGGGGGAGGCGGCCTATAGGAAGGAAGTTGAGCAGTTGGGGGAGTGGTGCAGGAAAAACAACTTACTCCTTAACTTAAAGAAAACAAAAGAGATCATTGTGGACTTTAGGAAATGTAAATTGAATATTCAGCCACTTATTATTGAGGGGAAGTGCATGGAACAGGTCTCGGTGTTTCGATTTCTGGGAATGGAGTTGAGAGACGACCTAACCTGGGGAGAAAACAGCAAAGACCTGGTGAAGAGAGCACAGCAGAGGTTATATTTTCTGAGAATCCTCCGGAAAAACAATCTCTCAAAGGACCTGTTGATGGCATTTTACCATTGCACTATGGAGAGTGTATTAACTTATGGTCTCTGTGTGTGGTTTGGGAGCTGCACGGTCAGGGAAAAAACAATGCTATCCAGGGTTGTAAAGACTGCAGAGAGAATAATTGGGTGCACTCTTCCCACCTTAGATCAAATCTATGCTGCCAGGTGCCATAAGAAAGCGGCAGAGATAGCACAGGATAGTAAGCACCCCGGAAATGATCTCTTTCAGCTTCTGCCTTCTGGAAGAAGGTATAGGGTTTTAAAGGCCAGGACTAGCCGTCTGAGAAACAGTTTCTATGCAAATGCAATTCTGGTTCTAAATGCAGCATAAGGGGTCTCTATAGTATAGTGTATTTTAAAATGGGGTTTCAGAGTTTTTAGGGGGTTTTGAATGTTTTATGTAGTTTTTATGTAGTTTTTATGTAGTTTTTCAATTTCATTGTCCTGCATGGGACAATGACAATAAATGCCGCCATCACGTTCTTTAGTAGAGCCATATTTTCTTCTGACCCATGTGCCGACTTCATGGTCCGCAGGGCAATTGAGGGTTGGAATAGACTACAACCTCCAAGGAAGGAAGGCCGTAAGCCTATTTCCTATGAGTTGCTCTCCCAAATTCGCCTGAAACTTAGGGCTATCTGCTGGTCCAAGTACGAGGCCCGGATGTTCTCTGTGGCATACGCTATCGCCTTTTTTGGTGCCTTTAGGGTTGGTGAGGTGGTGGCTGAAGCAACCTCAAGTGGCACAACATGCGGCCTCCTCATGGAGGATGTTCAATTGTCCAGCGCAGACTTGATGGTGCGCATGCGTCAATCCAAGACTGACCAGGGCGGTAAGTGTACCTTAGTCAAACTCACAGCTTCCGGCCACCAGGGCCCTTGCCCGGTGAAGAACACCAGACGATACTTATATCTTAGACCTCCTGGTCCTGGCCCGCTCCTTATTCACGAGGATGGGTCCCGATTGATGAGGCACCAGTTCACTCGGGTACTTCGAAAAGCTATAGATGCATGCGGTTTCTCTTCCAAGGATTATGCTGCACATTCGTTTAGGATTGGCGCTGCCACAACAGCCGCGCATATGGGCCTCCCTGCGGATAGGATTAAAGAAATGGGCCGCTGGAAATCTGATGTGTACAAGGGTTACATCCAATAGTACGCTTTGAACGCCATTTATTACCTCCCTTCTTACCCGTCTTCTCTTTTCTTTGTCCTTAGCTGACTTCGGTAAACAAGTTTGGATCTGCGGTCACAGTATTGTTCATTGGGCCTGCGTCCGGTCTGCAATTTGCAGCTTCACTCCTAACTTGGGGCTACCATCGTGGGTGCGAGTTTCCTGGTTTTCAAGACGTGGCATGCGATGGGAAGAACTCATGCCACTGCTGAAGGTAAAAGCCGCCATGTTTGACACCCCCTAACATTCTAATCATTCAGCTGGGGGAGAATGACCTGGCCAACAGGAAAAGTGTGGACTTGTTGTTGGACATAAAAAAGGACTTGGATGAGTTGGCTGCTTTACTTCCCAGAACAGCCTTGTTTTGGTCCTCACTCTTGAAGAGAAGGGTATGGCGCGGTTCGCATAACATTATGGCCATCGAAAAATCCAGGAAACTCTTAAATCGTGTGGTAGCGCACAAAGTGCGTTTCATGAATGGCCTAGTTATCCCGCATGATGATATCCGGATTGGCGACCAGGCCCTGTTCCGGGATGATGGTGTTCATCTTTCAGATCGAGGCAATGACATATGGCTGGCCGACATCATTAGAGGTCTTAGGGATTGGTTGCAGCTGTGAGGGTACTGGCGGCGAGCCTCTTGGGCTCGGGTGGCGGTTAGGCATTGGAATGTGTTGTTGGTGTATGGAAGGGCAAGGTGTGGCCATCGCCTATCCCTTCACTTATGGGTATTCCATTAAAGGAATCCGGCGGTCGTGGATCCTGTCCGATGCCCTGTGTGGCAGGGGGCCATGGCACGACCCTCGGTGACATCAGGGGAGACCTTATAGTTGTATTTGCATCAACAGGCTCCCCCTGCTGGTGGTTAACCCCTCATCAGACTCACCCCTCTCCGAGTGGGTGGAGTCAAATTTGCTGTGGTCCAATGCCTAAGCCAATACCTTCTCACATGCTGTAATCAATAAAGTTGTGGCCTTTTCTTGCCCATTAACCTAATATACTGTGTCCACGTGTCTTCATTCCCCCAAGCGGGGATCGGGTCCTCGAATCACAATTGGCCACTCACGATTGCCAGTCTCGGAGCTTCGCTGCTTTGAAGGAAGCAGTCATTTCCACTGTGCCGCATCTCCGACCCCGCTCACTCTCGGGGCTCTTACAAGCTTACCGGGGAGCAGGGGAGTCGCTGGAAGGCACTTGCCGGAACACCAGGTCCTCCGTGACCAGGGAGAAGAGTCGGTGGAGGAAGATTGGAAGAAATTCAAAGATTATCTTCAGAAACATTGCAAAATTAAAGAATGTTAGAGTGATGTTGGATCGAAAATAAGTGGTTTCCAGCTGTACAGGTTAAAGTTATTGATAGACTAAGATTAAAGATTAGGATTAAAGATGTTTAAGGAAATGGAAATTTGGTATTTAAGAGGTAAAATTTTAATGTTATATTACATTAAGATTAAAGATTAGGATTAAAGAAGTTTAAGTGTTATATATTATATTAAAATTAAAGATTGGGATTAAAAAAGTGGAAAAGAAATTGCTGGAGAAACAATTTGGACTGGAATACAAAAGAGGGAGGTATGAGGAAGTCCAGAAAATAAGTAAATTTAAAAAACGGAAATGGAAAAGTGATATTGTTTTTAATTGTTATGTTTTTTTTTATTGTTGTTTCTTGCTTTTTGTGTTTTTTGTGTGTTTTTTCTGGGATTTGTATTGTGTATGTGTGTATCTTTTTTATGTCTTTTCTGTTTAATTTTTGATTGAAACCTTAATAAAAATTATTTTTTAAAAAAAGGAACACCAGGTCCTCAGAACGCCCAGTCTGAGGTTTTTAATGGGGAACCACAACGCTCTCGTGGTCTCCCCAACTTCAAAGCGCTGGGGCTCTTTCACCCGAAAGAGCTCCCGACTGCCATTACCGGGCGACCAACCGGAAGTAAAACCTATCCATTCTTAAGGAAATCAGACCTGAGTGCTCACTGGAAGGTGTCAGCTTCGCCTTTGAGCTGGTGCCAATGACTGGACTCAACCTCTTCTGCCCTGACTGGGCTAGGCAAACTGGGAAGCACTTCCAGAGACTTTCCACTGTGGGAGAGCAGGTCTAAGTGCAACGGACCCACAACTTTGAGCTGTGAGACCAAACTCAGCACCAAAGTCAGCAGAGTATGAACTACACGAACGAAAGCTCTGAAGCATAACTTCTTTATTCTCTTACAGCTACTGCAAATTAAAAATAAACTAAAGACTAAAGGAGGCTTCTGGACTGCATGAGTGTTACAGTTTCTTATGCAGTCATCTTATCTCTACACAGATAACACT